CTTCTGTTCAGACTCAGATTCTCCCAAGGATTTTGTATAATTCATAAATCAATCTGAGTTCAATTTTAGCTTTTCTCTCTCTGTACAAGTCTTGGCCTCCCACAAAGGTCTCTTAGGTTTGGTGAGGCAGAGCCATTTCCTGTCCAACAATAAACAGAGTTTATTAATGATCATCCTAGTACTTAGCTATAAGCAAGTACTTAGCCATAAGCATTCACATTGTTAATCCAACGTGAATAAAATCATTTACTTGTCCTGACAATTTCCAGTCCAGCTTTTCTTGAATAAATATTTATCTATAATGAGGACTGGAAATTGTGCAAATTTGTGAAAAAGTAATATGTATTGCTGATTAATAGCTCTTGCTCAAGATGAGCCTAAAGAAGTGAGGTAGATTGAAAACGATCAGATCTGCCATGCTCAGGGGGTGATAGAGCAGAGGCCAATAGCTCAGGGTATACCCCAGGAACAGATACTAGGACTGGAACTGTGTAGCATCTTCATTGACAATCTCAATGATGGGACAGAGTGCAACCTCAGGAAGTTTGATGATAATAAAAAATTGGGTGGAATGGTTGATACAGCAAATTATTTTGCTACCTTGGTATCTTGACAGGCTGGACAAATGGTCTGACCAGATGGAAAGCAGAGGACCTGATTATCCTGATGGCCAAAGTGGACATGAATCAGCAATGCACCCTTGATGCATTAGGAAGAGTATTAACTCTTTATTTGGCGCTCATGATACACATCTGGAGTCCTGTGTCCAGTTCTTGGCTCCCCAGTAAGGAAAGTCATAGACTTACTGGTACAAGGCTAGCAAATGGCCTGGAAGATGATTAACTGAAGTACCTGTCAGACAAAAAGAGGCTGAGAGAGCTAAGTCTGTTCAGCCTGAAGAAGAACGAGTTTTGGGAGGCTCTTATCAATATGTGCAAATATCTGACGGTGGAGGGAAGCACTAACAAGATGAAGTCAGGCTCTTCTCAGTGGTGTGCACTGACAGGATGACAGGCCATGAGCAAAAATTAAAATTTTTAAAAAAGAGATCAATTTAAACATAGATTTATTTATTTATTTATTTTTATTTTTATTTTTATGTGAGAATTGAACACTGGAGCATGTTGCTGATAGAAGGGGTGCAGTCTCCATACTTGAAGATGCTCAAAGCCCCAGGGGACACAGTTTTGAACAACCCACCCTAGCTGCCCTGCTTTGATCAGGGTATTCAACTAGATGACCTTTCAAGGCACCAGATATGCCTACCAACCTCAGCCATTCGATGATTTCTGAACAACTCTCGGTTGACCATGAATTTGAATGACTGACCTGAGCAGTGAACCTCTGGTGCTGCAATCATTTTTTGTTTTATGGTATTTGTGTGCAGAGGTAAACTGCTATTACAATGCACTTAGGAGCTGGACACATTTCAAGAGCTGATAAAGTAATTCTTATCTACTTTCTTGCTAAACATTTTCAGAAGGAAAGGAGCAAACGCAAGTTTTATTTACCGTGTTACTTCTGCCTGTATTGGTTTCAATTAATTTATTGCTAGACAATTTAAATATCAAATTAAGGTCTTAAAATTGGTTTTAAAGAAGTAGGATTTTTATAGAATAAAAGACAATAGCACAATTTGCTGTTTTAAATCTTATAATATTTTTACAGTTTATATAGTACATAATAGTGCTGACATAGCTGTGTTAAGATCACACTGGGCTAACCATCACTAGGGGTGTTCCATATGCAGTACCCTGAATCCCAGTCTGCTGTATTCTCCACCTGTGCTATGCAGAGCCAGTGCTGTCCTCATGTGAGATGAGGAAGGGCTAGTTTGGCTCCAGGACCAATTGTGTTCATAATTTTTAGTTTCCACTAAACCTCTAAGAAGCAACAGTGCTTCAAAAGTGAATCTCAGTATAGGATAAAATAAATGATGTGGATAAAGTTCTTATAGTCTTGTAGATAACTCCCACGGTTCTCCACAAAACTCACATAATTGCTTTGTCATTTGTGCCTGCTCTGTTAGAATTTCTGAAAAGACACTCTGAGGAGTCAGAGACTGAGCTTGCAGGCAGGGAGATGGAGGCTAAACAGCAAAAGATTGCTCACCAGGCATAGACCAAGACCAGATGACTCATTACAGCACTTTACCTGTCAGGTCTATATCTCAATCTGTAATGTAGCACTGACTTGTTTCTAGGATTTATAAGGACAAAAAGTGTCTGCGCAAATTCTGGGTAAGAGCTGACAAAGAGTACTCCTTCAAAAAAGTAACTCTTGAAAACTCTGCGTGGAAAGTAGTGACTATAGGAAAGGTGGTCACCTCTCTGTGCTTACAGTAAAATGAAAGGTGACTTACAGAAATACCATTCTAGCTGATACTGCAGTTGAATATTAAACGTATGTAATGTATGTATATATGTATCAATATACTTGCTACACGTGAATCAACACAAATTGCCCAAGCTCCCTACAGATTTTGCTCAGGAAAGGTACTACAGGAGGTGCTTGCTGCTCGACTGTTAGTTGTAAGCTGGCAAAGCACTGGGGAAAGGAACAGCTAGTTCTCAGAACAGTATTGCACAGATGAGGCTTAATCTATACTTGAAAGGGCTGCATAAAACATTGACTTGTCACATTTATGCAGCTACTTAATTTTCCAATCTAGGGCAGCCTGACTGCAAATTACATTTGTCTACTGGTTAGTTTGGGCAGCTGCAACCACTCTGTCATTTTGGAAGCGCTCTTCTTATTCAGAAAAGAGGGCTGTACTTCACAAACAGAACTTAGAAGCTTTCAAGCTGAGACAAGCCTGGCAGTTTTATTGGCAGTTTGACCAGGAGCAAACAGAACACTTTATGTATCTTGGCATAAACAAGCATTGCCCTTAGATGTTCTGTTCAAAGCCAGACACACAGGGGAGAAAAGTGGGGAAGACAGAGGAGGGTGTTGCAGTCTCCTTGAAACTGTCTATGTTGCAGTATTAATTTGTGTTTAGAAGTGGCAAATTTGTAAAATACATAGATAATCTGCATATTTTAACAAAGTATTAGGCTGCAACAAATAGCCCCAATTCATAAGAACTCTTAAATTTTTGCTCTATGCCTGTAGCACGTTCTGGCTCTGCTTTTCCTTACTTAACAGTCAAGTAAACCAGCTGTTTCTGATGTTGCTGGCTCCAGACCTAGTTTATTCAATTCCTCATTAGGTAAGAGGCTCTTTTGTGGGTGACATTGCCTGGACAGGGGAGTGCCAGGTCTTCCCTCTGGAGGCCTGCAGGATTGCCACCATAAGAATGCTTGAACAGAAGCACTGTTTCCACCACTGCCCTTCAGCAACACCTCTCTGGGGAGGGACAGCTTCTGTCCATGAACCAGTGACCTGTGAACGCTGCCCCAGGGTACAGCAAAGCATAAGTCTCTGGGGGAAGTGTGGGCTTCCATGTGCATTTGCACCTCCCTCTGAATTAAACTGGGCTGGCTGATCGATGGATGCCTCAGACAAAAACAATTTTATAATTAAGGACGTTTGCTTGGGAAATTTTGCTGGCCTGAGTCTCCCCTTTGTGTGATCACCTCCTCAGTGGAAAGATTTAGCATAGCTTTCAGTGTAGTAGTGGACCATACCGATAGGAGCCTTAATAACAGCAGGTTCTATCCAATGCAGCAGGTATTTACTTATTTTCTTCACTTAAAGAAAGAGGAAGTCATATAATGTAAATCTTTAAAAAGAGTTAATCTTGATTTTAGCATAGGCTTATTAATTGACTTATTTTCTCTTTTTAATAATTCATATAACAATGCATGTAACATTTAGTTAAGAATAATTTGAAATAATTCTGGTCATATTAATCAAATGCTTGCTCCTAATGAACTACTACTTACAGCCACTGGTGGATTAGAACAGGCTATAAAAAGTGCTAAATCAGAGGAGGAAAGCTGGAAATAATTTTAATGATGAAGCTGGAGGAAAAGCTTGAAATACTCCATGTGAAATAGCCTATATTTACCACGTAGTACTCACTTTGCTAAAACTATACATTTCATTTCCCCTTGTTAACAATAAATAAACACCAATTAATTTATGCAGCTAAAAGATCAATGGGAGCATAAATCTTTTATTAGAGATTCCAAAATAGAAATTCCTCCCCATTTCCATTATTGACAACAGCTGCACTTGCTCAAAAGGGAAGAATCAGCATTCAAAGCATATTCTTTGTTTTTCTCTGTATCCTTCAATGAGTAATAAAAGAGAGCAGATCCACTTCCTACACCTTTCCACGTGCACACTGAGTCCTATCTCCGTTTTGACCTCTGTCGACACAGCTGGCAGAGGCTCCCATTGAGGTGTCAATGCAGCTGCTGCGCACTGACACGACTGTTAATGAGCCCACGGAAAGAAACCGAGCTGTTCTCCTCGGGCAGAGACTGAACTAGCAGAGTTTCAAACTGCGACATACAGAATACGGAGTCGCTATCATTATTAGCTTCATTATATCTCTTAAACAGCGGTGCAACTCCTGCCTGAGGACGGAGCAGTCAATATCGTGAGGCAGCAGCCCTATGTGAACGCGATATGCATTCACGTTGGGCACCCAGGTGACTCAACACCGCCCCGCAACAACTCCGCGTCGTCGTGTGCAGTTCCATCTCCCCTCGGCACCCCTCTCGAACTCAGCGGCTCGGCCCGGAGTTCTCCAGCGAGATGAGAGCTCCCTCTCCTGAGGGGCCGCAGCCTCGCTCCGCCTCTCGGCCTCTCTCCGTAAAGGCTCTCGGCCGCCCGGGAACGGTCCCTCATACGGGACCGCTGCAGCCAGCGCAGACGTCGCCAAGGACAGGCAGCACTAGAGCCCGTCCCGACGAGGGGTGACGGCTCCCGGCTGCGGCCAGGTGCCTGCTTCCCAGCGGGCGTCACTCCGCTCACCGTAATCCGCGCTCCTCGGGCGCTTGGCGCCGGGGGAGGGAGCGGAGGGGGGCTGGCCGGGGCGGCGGCACCGCATGCGCAGGAAGCCAGGTGCCTGCCGGCTTTGCGAAGAGCCGGCAGCATCGCACGCGGCCCGGCGTCCTCATGGTGCTGTGTCAGGGCGCCGAGGCTGCGGCTGTTGCCCCCACGGCGGGGAAGGAGCTGGAGGGGCCGCGGGGCCGGGAGGACGGTGCGGAAGCGGGGCGGCCCTGCCTGCAGCCGGCGCCCGGCGTAGAGGTGGCGGCGGGCGCCGAAGAGCGCCGCGTTTGCGGCTGCTGCCCGGGTTTGCCCTGGCCGCGCTCCTGCAAAGCACCCGGTGAGGAGGGTGAGGCTGGCTGGCGGACGGAGCAGGGGGCAGCGCCCTGCCGGTGGGGTGACATTACCGGCGAGGCGGAGGAAGCGTCCCCGAGGGCGCCGGGGCTGAGTGGCACGCGTGGTGGGGCGCGGGGTGAGCACGGGCAGCCGCTGAGGGCGCCGCGCACCTGCACCTGGGGGCGCCGCTCCGCGAGAGCGCGTCTGGCCCCGGCCTACTCCTCCTCTGCACCCTCACCCCCCGTTTCTCTCCTCGAGGAGAGGGCTGGGGCAGCCAAAGGCTTGCCTGTGAGAAAGGGTCGCTATCGCTTCCTGGTGCCGCTGTTGTTTGTTTTTTAAGTTCAGGCTGCACAGTGCTGGGTAGCAGGCTGAATGGCACTGCTCGTGTATTGAGAAGGGACGTGGCTGCCTTTCGAAAAGTAAGGGGGAGGAACTCAGCGCTTGTAGCCGTGGCTTCCTTAGCAGTTCTTATCTTTCTTCCGTGGGAGTCTATTCTTTATTTTGTCTTTTGCTTTACTCGGTTACTTTGAATCACCGAAGCCATCAACTCGCTGTAAAATTTGCAACAGAGAGTTTTTGTGAGCTTAATTTGGCTTCCTTTTAAGACATTGGTGCTTTCTTAAAACGATTTCTAATTCATCTGAATTCTTAAACGACTGCATTGAGACCTGTTTCATATGAAATATGAATTATAATTGACTTTCCAGTAGAAAATGCATAGAGTTCTGTCTTTGTTAAGTAGGCAACTGCGGAGAGGCCAGAAGAGATAGCGGTCTGGTGCAATTTACATTAGTGTCACTTCTAAGGCAAAGCTTGGAAAAAACAGCATTCAGAGTCCTGAGAAACTTGTGCTGACTTGCCAAGGATGGCTCTTTTTGTAGTCTCTGGCAGAAAGTTAAGTCAATAGCTGAGCTTTATGACTCATGCCTGGATCTTGTCTACATGGCCATGGTTAGTTCATAAACAGGCCCTTGTGCTCTTGTTGCCTTTCTGTGGTCTGAGGGAACTATTCTGGTGCTGTCTGTGTGCAGAACAGATTGCCCGCTCCCAAAGTTCTGTGAGAATGGTTTTCTCGCTGACTTTCTTACCCTTAGTCAGCATTTTCCTATCTCCACTCTTAAGAAATGTAAGAAACTGTTATTTTCTTTACCCTTTGCGTCTTTCAAATACAAAAGCTAGTTGTTAGAAAGCCTGGAATTAAAATGCAAACAAAGAAAATGGTGTTCAGTGGGAGGTGTTTGACTGGGATTTGAAACAAGAGTTAAAGGATCATGTGGAAACCCCACACATGGAGATGGCCAGGGAGTGAGACTGAAAAGCCAGATCTGTCACTGCTCGGAAGAGAGTACTTGGGTACTTGCAGAAACTTTTTTCTTCCTTTTTTCAGACCAAAAGCTCAAGTGTCTTAAATGGCATTGGGTTAGTGTTGGGAGGCCCAATGTTCCATGCAGTGGTAATGAGAAGATGGTTGGACTAGATGGTCTTATAGGTCGTTTCCAACCTTATGATTCTATGATTCTATGGGCTGGGAATGTTATCTTAACCAAACTTTTCCTCAGAACATATTTTGAAATAAATATTCTTCAGAAGGGCAGTTCTTGTTTTTGGTAGAAGAACTCACACCGTGTTATTTTTAAAAGGAAGTAAGACACCTTCTTATTGCACTAAGCACATGCTTTGGCGATGTGAAACAACAGTTTAAATTCTAGTGTTACCAGATACTTTTTCTGATAGGTTAGATTTATTGGGCAGCTTACAGAAATGAATTCCTTTTAGTTTTCTTTTTAATCCATGGCTTAATTCTGGATATAAGATCCTTTTAGTTTACTTTGCTGTAATTTCACTTCCATTATTTTGATTGGCTTCATTCTGTGGTAGTCAGGCAAGCTATCACGCCTGAAGTGAGTCAATGCCCTATGTGCTGTGTTCTCCCATAAGCCTGCCTTTGGATTTCCCTTTTCAGTTATTGGCCAGTCTGACTCTACTTGTTTTAATACTGGGGATGGAGTTGATTTTGTATTTCTGTTGCACGACAGTGTGGATTAGGGTGTTATGTAATTCACGGACATTTTAAAAAATCTGTTCTGTTAGATACTCAGTGGATGTCCTGTGCCTGTGCTGGTTAGTGGTATTGTAATAGTTGCTTTTATGAAAATGTCTATTGCTAAATAGAAGTATTTCGGCAGTAGTGTGGCTGTATTTTTTGGAATGTAGGCTTTCTGCCTTTTCTAAGTCCTGGTTGAGGTAGTAAAGCCTGGGGCTTCATGATGGTTAAAGTGGGAACTGGTGCCGTACCGATTGTGTTGGCATGCAGTCCCAGCTCTCTGGTAGAAAGAACATTCTCTTGGCCTTGAGTGCTGATCTCAAGGAGGATCCAAATGGTTTGTGACAAGTTTTGTTAATTTAAAAACAAACCCAACCTCTCAAAACCATATGTAGTTGCTTAGCAACTCACAGCAGTGCCCGCTGCTGATACTGCAAAGATCCCTGGGGTTCGGCGGGTGGGGTGAAGCATCCTTTTATCAAAGCATCACGTTGTGGATGGGGAGTTCTCTCAGTTATCTTTAGAGAGTGGTTTAGAAGAAGGGCAACCCGAAGTATTTTATGTAGATGCAAAGATAAGTGATAGTGAGGAAACATCTTGTTTTAATTCACCTCTAGGTTCAGTGGCAAGACTTTTCCTCCTCTGCAGCCAGTTAATCTTTATCATTTTAAATATTTAAATAATATTAATTTATTAATATTTGTTAATTATTAATATGAAAAGGGCTGGTTTCTTGGGAAACAGCATTGAGGTCAGCAGTAGTTCACCCTCCCTGTTTGCTTTCATTTTTAATTTATATTTTATTTATAGCAAAGGGTGGAGAAAGTGGGTGGAATAAGGAAGAGTGTGTAATTGAAATAGGCCTGAGGCAGTATGGATGCCTGAATAGAATCCATTAGGCCCGGGAGACTTCTTCAGGAGAAGAAAGTCCGATAGATAAGGGTAAACAATCGTGAAATTAAGTTCATGGAACTTTTATAAGTGAGGGTCATTAAATAATTTCTGCATATATGTGCCTGCGAGAGAGGAAACTGTGTTGTTGCTTAGGAACCTTAATGAACTTACTCTATAATCCAATAACTCCCTGGTAATAAGTTTCAGTGTTTCACGATCTGACTGTGGACCATCTGCAGTCAATTTTATTTACTGATTTGAAGGCAGTTGTCAGAAGCAGCTCAGAATCTCCTGAAGTGTAGACACGCACCTCCAACTGACATAGGACTGGGAGAATTCTAGGAATGGTTTGAGTCCAGAGTTTGAGAGTTCATCTTCTATTGCCTGTTTTAAGGAAAAAAAGAGGGCTGTGGTGGCTAGTGAAACATGTTTTCAAGGTAGGTCTGGTAAATCAATGTAGTATTTGCATTTCTTTTGCTTACCCTTTTGTCTGCCACAAGGATGGCTACAAATGTACACAGTAGTACATGGAGCCACCTGTGGAATCTGTTGATGGAGAGCTAGATCATTACTTACTATGTTTATCTGTTGCAGGTACAAAGAAAACTGCCTGTCCAGGACTCGGTCTCTTTTACACCTTACTGTCCGCCTTCCTTTTCTCAGTGGCCTCTTTATTCCTTAAAAAAATAGAAGATGTACACTCAGTGGAAGTGAGTGCATTTCGATGCATTTTCCAAATGGCATTTGTTCTACCTGGTTTAATATACTACAAGTAAGTGTAACAAAAGTTTCAATTTAAAGTTATTTCTTAAAAGTATGTATTGGAAACATAATCACTCATTAATTTGAATCTTAAATATGCTTAAATACTTGAACTTCATATGCTTAGCTGCATTGTTTTGAATCAGTTTATAGTTTACTAATTCGACTTATTTCCTTGTCAAAATTTGACTTCCTGAATTGTAGAAATTTCTACAGGGTTTATATTGGATGTATTGACCTCCCATGGAAGTAGTGTTCTTGAAAATAGGAGATAATTTGTAGAATCTTTTGGGTTATTTTGCAAGCAGCAATTTAATACTAAAGGAGTAGGTTCCTGACTGAATGTGATTGGCAAGTGGTGAAGGGACTAAATTGCTCTGGGATCAATCAGTTAAAAATATTTTGATGTTTGAGATAAGTCTGTCACTTGGAAGGGTTTGTACATTTAAATGTCATTGGATGTTGGTCATGAAATTAGCAAGCCAGTAACATTAATGTGACATTTCTGTTTTTCTTAATTTTCAGAACAGGGTTTTTGGGACCAAAAGGTAAAAGAATTTTTCTTTTCTTCCGAGGATTCCTTGGCTCTAGTGCAATGATTCTTCTCTACTATGCTTTCCAAGTAATGCCTCTAGCTGATGCCACTGTTATAACTTTCAGCTGTCCTGTTTTTACATCATTACTGGCATGGATCTTTCTCAAAGAAAAATACAGCCTTTGGGATCTTCTCTTTACCCTCTTCACAATCATTGGAGTTATTCTAATTGCCAGACCACCGTTTCTGTTTGGGTCAAATGTTACAGGGATTGAAGGAAGTTACTCAGATCACCTTAAAGGAACTATTGCAGCAATTGCAAGCACGGTATCTGCAGCATCAACTATTGTTATACTTAGAAAGGTGGGAAAATCTGTGCATTATTTTCTGTCAATTTGGTATTATGCAGTCATCGGTTTAATTGGATGTGTTATAGCATTGTTTGTTATGAATGAATGGCGTTTACCATACTGTGGTAAAGACAGAGTTTTTCTCATATTAATAGGCATATTAGGGCTAGGGGGACAGATATTTCTCACAAAAGCACTACAGATAGAGAAAGCTGGGCCTGTAGCCATAATGAGAACGATGGATGTGGTGTTTGCTTTCATTTTACAGATTCTTTTTCTCAATCATCTACCAACTTGGTGGACTGTGGGTGGTGCCCTTTGTGTAGTAGCTAGTAGTTCTGGGACTGCCATTCGTAAGTGGAGACAAAGCTCAAAGAAAGCTGAACAAAATGAAATCTAACAACACAGACACTACTTCATTACAGAAATTAATAATCTTGAAATATATATTAAAAATATTTATTTTTATTTATTTAAAGTATCTCATTTATGAAATTATAGTACCAAACCGTAGCCAATAAAAGAAATTGGTTTTAATAAAAACAAAACAACATCGACAACAAATTGAAGATGTTTTGACAACTAATTAAGTATATATGCTTTTTTCCCCTCATATTTGGTCATGCAAATACAAGAAGCAGGAAGATTCTTAAAAGTTGCTTGCTTTACATCTGAAGTGGATGATTGTTAGCTGGGATTTTGTTTTCCTAAAGTACCTGTACCAGATTCTCCATTTTTTGGACCCTTTCTCTATTCTTCTGAGCAGTGGAATTTTCCCAGGCTTATTTGTACTAATCTGTGATTGATTATGAGAGGGATTTCAGTTCAAATAGTTAGAAGGGAATAAAGAATTATAATCTTACCTCTAACTTCTGTGGAATAGATAAAGCTTGCACATCTTGCACATCTACCAACTTTCTGCTTTTGTTTTTTCCTTACTCCCCCCCTCAAAAAAGAAACAAACAAAAAACCAAAGGCATTGGGATGTTCTTATTGGAATTCTGAAAGAACAAAGGGTATTCCATCTTTTCAGGTCATGTCAAGACAAGATTAACCTTTGGAAATTCTTTCATCTTTGCTTTCTTAAAAAACAACAACAATAACAACAAAATTGTTCCTGCTTTACAGGCATAATAAACAATCCTTATTTTAGTATGTTCTCAATAAATACATCTTTAATTACTGCAGTCTTGGTGAGGAGAGATAATAGGTAACTACATACCACTTGTAAGCTCTTTCCTGTGGTATAGAATATTATGCTGTAGCTGCACTTTTCTTTACTCTATGCAAAAGATTGTATTTTTTAGATACTTAATATAGGTTATTTTAAATGCTACTTAGGAGTGATTTCTTTATATTCTCTATGAAAGTTCTTTATGAAACTGTTTAAGTTCTCTTGGCCTTCATAAGCTTAGGCAAATGCCTTAATGTAAATCCTTTTTCCTAAGACTTTACAAGAGAGTGCACACTATTTGTGGTTCACAGAAAATACACATTTGCCAACTTCATAGCACAGATTCTATAGAACAGGTTTGTGCAGCACTTGGTGGGAGGGTGGAGCTCACACTCAGTGCATCAGGCAGTGCTAGTGGGCAGCTTCACCCCTGTTTCTATGCACGTTTTAAATCTGCACTTAGTCACTTCTCTAACACAGCTTCTCATGTTGATATGCTTCATCTTTAGATAATGATGAATACTGAGGAAAAAGGCTTATGTTACTGATCTTGGCCTCCTTCACGTTTGAAGGAGGGATATATATTAAATGTGAGGTAGGGGGGATTTTCTTTAATGAATTGTTGTGTGCTTTTGGGTCTTGTCTTGGTAGTTCTCAAAGAAAAACTTCACTTGGGTCTTTGCCCGTTCCTTTGTATCACAAGGTGTTTCTCAGTTATTTACACACCCCATGTCCTTCTAAAGGAGTGTGTTGTAGCCAATAGCCGTTGCACTCTGGGAGAGCAGCCCTTGGAGAGTTGAGCCCTGAGGAAGTGTGTATGAATCTTCATACTTCAAAGTGTATCTAGATGAAAGCAGCTATTTTTGTGCAAGATTTCATTCTTTAATATTGTGGACATGAGCAGATTCCATCCTGGTGATAAAATCACTTTCTGCATATAGCTGTCTGTTCACTGCTTTTCCCGAAGGCTGAAGTTAACCACTCCTGACATGGTCAGCAATAGTACGAAACTGGTTTTCACATCTGTTTTAAAAAAAAAAAAAAAAAGCCTAATACTAGAATTCCAGTTTGATTTTGCTTACTACTTGAAATTGTAAACTGGGATTTTTTTCTGCTGCTTGGCCATCATCACCATTAACACATTTCAAGGGAGGGATGGAAAATAGACTGCATTTCTTAATGCTTCATTTCATGTTTAGTATGCATGTGTTTGTAAGTTAACACTCACGAGGTACAGTTCCAAAGCAGTTCAGATTGATGTGGGTTGTCAGCTAGTCCTGGTTCCTTCCACTGGCTCAGTGTGACTGCTTATGGGGTTATGTGGTGAGCTGCCCCTGGAGCTGGTGCAGCTGAGTAACTTGGTTTGTAGAGTTGGAGAGGGCCAAACTGCAGTGGTCTGAACTTAATCACTAAGTCAAAAAATGTCAAATGAAGGGGAGTTGGATAGTTGTTTAAACTGCAGTATGCATACACTACCTTGTCAGTACACAGTTTCAAAAAAAAAAAAAAAAAAAAAGTGGGAGCTTATATAAAAAAATATCTTTAGCTGATATGATTTCAGTGGTTATGAATCTTGTTTACAAATAGTAGAGAAGTACACGCTACTGAAGAAAGGTCTTTTTTTCTTGCACTAAACATGTATGAATTGACCTGAAATCAGCAACTTGGTATAGTGCCTTTTTTTATTTAACCTTGAGTTGGAAACCCTAATCGAGAGTATTTCTTTACAAAGCCTGGTAACATGGTCAAATTTTTCTCTTCTCCCCAGCTTACTGTTTGAGATTATGAAATAAAACTGGCTGAGCCTTGATTCTTTCTGATCAGTTTTCTTTTGTAGTTTTAATACAGCAAATTCCTCAGGGTCAAATGTTATTTTCTTTCTAATCTTTATGTCAAATGTATTGCTAATGTTCATCACCTTTCACGTCATCTTACAATCTTTACAGTAATTAAGTTCAACACATGTATTTACAACAGGAAGCCTTTCCTTTGTAATGTGATGAAGTATTGTTGCATTGTAACTGCTGTTCTATAAAGTTATTGTTGAATTTCAACATGTTAATTCAATGTTCAGATTTCAGTGGAGCCTGAATAGAGAAAGTAATAGGTAATTATTGGTTGTTTTGCACATAAACATAGAGTGAAAAAGTTTTGTTGTTACAGATTCATCACAAGCATGTTTCTTATGTTCTTTTGCTATGCAATTCACTGTAATCATCTGCTGTCTTCACTGGGACTTTGTAGCCTTCAAGCCATACCTACATGACTCTTACAAAAAGCTAGGAGCTAAAAAAGCTGTGTATTGTCACTGTGCAGCAGCCAGTTACTTTCAGGATATACTGGTTGTCAAAATATGCTCTAAAAGCCCTCTCGGTATGCCCAAACAATGAATTTGTCATATTCTTAGTGTGGGAAAGTGCAGTCTATATAATTAAAATGAATTTCTTGCATTTGTCTAACACCAGACATAGAAGTAATCTCAGCTTGAGAGCATTGATGAAGTCACTAGTTTGTTGTGTCTTCTGAAACAAGGCTCTTTCTCAAATTCAAATGCTGTTCTGAGGTGGATCTTTCCATAGTTGATGATGACAAGAAAGAAGTAATACCCTTAATTATGATATAGTATAATGACCCCTGCCCTCTATTTTCTTTTCCTTGATGAGCTTTATTCAGGATACGTCTCTTGGAGGAAAGCTTATTTCTAAAGGGGCAGCCTCTTCAGTAGTCACTTAGTTGCTAACTGGCAGTGGATAAGCAGGAATAATCGGTTCTCCACTGACCATGATTTCTGTCCATTCAAACAAGAGTTCACAGTGCTGACAGCAGATGCGCAACTGACTTCAGCAGGGCTTTGCAGTTACCGACAGAATGTTTCCATGGTTGTAACTGCCTGTCCATCCAAAGAAAAGTTGTGGCTTTATGTTCCTGCAGATGCAGATAACCTCGGTGCAAAACTTATGCAGTTCCATAAATTGTTGGTGATAACACTTCTGTATATGAGAATGAGTGATTTCATATTTTATGGGAACTGTTGTTTGACAAGAATGGGGTAAAAATGCCCTCTGTGTTAAGATTTTTACTACGTCCTATATATTGTTAAATGGTATGTTTTGTAGAAGTTACTGGCTTTGTTATGTAGTAGTATATTTTTATAGACACCTCTTATATATTGAAATGTGAAGAATATTTTCGTAAGAGATTTATATTCATCATTGCTAATAAAATGAACGTAAAGGATTAATCTCTGGCTTTGTATTGATTAGTAGAACGTACTTGAATGTAGTGATATTGGAAGCTTCATGAAAGAGCTATTAATGAAGGAGCCCCTGTTAAGTATGAATATGTTTCCAACTGTACAACTTGTGAGCATGCTGTGTCACTGTTTATGCTTTTCAGTGAGCTTGAGACAAACAGAAGCTCTATGAACTTTCTCAGTACGGGAGTATCTTAACTGGAAAAACTGGTACAGGTAGGTCAGTAAAGTTGTATTTTCCTGTGCTCAGGTGGCAATTTGTCTTTTTCTTCCCCTACTTTTTATACATCAAGATTTGAATTCTGGTCTTGTTTCTCCTGTTAATTGTTAATATTCATCCCTGTACATCTCATTATCTAGTGCTTCAGTAATTACTTTTTCACTAAAGAGCAAAGAGCAGGGCAAAAAAAGTTATCTTGTTAGCAAAATTGCCATCATTGTTAAATACTACAAAAACTTTGTAGTAAATTCATTGTATTTGCATTATAAGGGAGGTTCCTCCTACAATAGTGTCTGGTTTCATAATAGCAGAAGATAACAGAACTGTTGAAGGTTATTAGCCTGCTTGAGATATGTGCACATTCCTGGGTGTGTGGCTTGGTGCTGTAGAGGGGGAAATACAGGAGGGCAGCTGCTTCTCAATGGGGGATTTCTAACAGTGTTAGCCTATTTGTCCAGCACACTCTGCTTCACTTTTACGCACAAAACTAACTCACTGCATGATGACTTGACACCACTAGTTTCAGTAAATGAAAAGTAATGGGGCTTCCATTGCTTTTACTAGAGCACACTATAACATGAGAGCACACTATAACAGACTGATTGTGAAAGAATTTTGTCGAGATGCACTGCAAGTTCCTCTTGAAACTTCTTTTTTTGGCTTAGTTATGTGTATTATGTAGAAACTTAAGTTTTGAGGGAAAAGAGAAATTAGCTTTCGAAAGACAGCATTGAAATCCTCCTTATTTGTACCATAATAGTGATTTACCTAGGTAAGTGATGAGTGCTATGAATGAATACTGAGACTCAAAACGTAATTCTACAATTGTCTACCTGCTGCAAAATATAAAGTAGGGGGAAAAGGGATCAAGTGATACTGAAGGAAGATGTTTCCATAGTATTGCTTGAAAAACAAACCACATTTATAAAATATTTAGAGGATAACTCACCCTGCTCTTTGTTGACTAAATAAAACGTTCTTAGAGGGATGCATGTGGGAAGTGATACTTGAGATGCGATATGCAGATGAACCACTGAAATGGATTTCAGTTGGTTCTTTTGAGTCCTCTAGTAACTTTAGCTTCGGTTTTATTTTCTGACGCCATGAAGTTATGTTATTCTGTGAAGTAGTAAACTGGGAAGGGTGAGAAAGCGCTTTGTTATTTGAGCTTAAATATTGAGCAAAGAGAAAAACAAGAAACGTCAATAGCTGCTCAGCTGGCATATAGTGCTTCTGCAGGCTGCTTGAAAAAGGCGGGTGGAGAGAAAACAAGTTTTGTGATCGCGAGCATGAAGTCAGTTGTACTTTGCGCTGTGGCCGTTCTGTCGGTAGGTGGCGCTCTGTTCCTAAATTTATTTCTCAACGTATGCGTTTAAACCGTGTTAAAAATCCAACCCCCACAATTTTAGATGATAAAAGTTTGTATGCAGTGTGACGTACACAGTGATAGGTAGACCTCACTACTATCCTGCATTTCGCAGGTAACTGTAGTTTGTATATCTGATGTATGTCCTAAACGTTCTTGAAAACAACCCACCACAATACGAGGGGAGTGTGCAAGTATGTTTCTTGCATTAAAATTCTTTGGGGGCCACATTTGTTGGATTAGGCTGAATTTAGCATAATAGTCACTTTTAATTCTGCTGAGAAACAGAGCGTGTATGCTGTCTGAGCAGTTGATAAGCATGTTGTAATCATTGCTGTGTTTACTCCCTATTGGGGAGACTCAGAAATCTTGCATTTTGTCTGTGATTGTTGCTGGAGGGTGGGGAGTGACACCAGTGTTGTTCCTGAACAGGTTCTTGGGTGCGGGTGCTCAAGCAGGGCATGGTACCTTAGTGCCTGTGATCCCCAGGCCCTGCTGCCCGGTGTTTCCAAGGGCATGGCTTTGAGCCGGTCACTGCAGCACAGGGCTGTGCTCAGGGCCTCATGTGCTGGACGAGCCCCTTCATCTGCCCTGCTGATTGAGTAGAAAATCTGGGCAAGCTTGCAGGCATGGCAGCACCATGCTTGAAGCCGAGTTGAGTTGGGGAGCAATTGTTCCAACTTCAACTTGATTAAAGGCAGGGAAATACAAGGAGAAGAGGAGGTGATAAATTTAACTACTGTGAGCTAGGAAAAGTACTGCTCAATCTGCTTTCCACTGAAAAGTTAGCTGGAGAATTTTTTGCTGGGGTTAGCTGGCACCAGTAGGTGTTGTTCTATTTAATAGGAAGTATTGTAACATTTTTGGGAATCTAAAGAACATTAAAACAGAGAAAAATCTTTGTTGTGTAACTTGGAAAGGCTCTGTGGCAAATCCCTTTTCTTTCACATAAAGTGCACTGTGAATCAGATGCTAATATTTATTTTATATTTTCCTATTTGAAATTTAAAACAAATATTTCCTTATATTACTGTAAAAGCTCTTCACCTACTATCAAGTTTTGATCAGGAAGTGAAAGAAAAAGTTGCACACTTTTCAAAAGTAACCTTGATGGAGTCATTTTTTTCACTCTACCAGAAATTTTATGCCAACCTTGTAATAGGTGTGTCCAATTTCTTCATTTAAACAGCATCTTTATATTGTATGACTAAGACTCTACTTTCTGCTATTTGCAGTAATGTATGCAGGAAGCCCATATGAAAACACTTAGCTAACGTTCTTTACTCTTGCCATACAGTGAAATATTTTCCTCAGTACTAAAAATGGAGAGTGATAAAGCCATGAAATACTATGATACAAAGTCTCCTAAAGGAGGACCACAAATAGCAAGGTAGGTTTTCCTGACCCAGAAGCACAGCTGGCTCATGCCGTTCATCTCACTGTTCTGCTTCACTTGTGGGAATCACACAATTGTATTTCCCCTGCAATTCATTAGTTCTTAGTCTATAATAAATGGTGAGTAGCTAATTCCAGTTTGTGATGTTATTAGTACAGTTAGGCTATGTTGAATTTTTAAGGAAGGTATGAAATGCATATATATATATATTTAAAGATATAGAAACTGTAGAAATTAAAGATTAATTGTATTTCTGCGATCAATAGAACTGGCAAATTTCAATGTAAATTTTCATCATTTTGGCCCATTCACCTTCAGAGGACAGCTTGCTGCATCTCATGTTCACTAGAAAGGGTTGCAGGGAGAGAAAGGAGACAGGAAAAGCAGGGGGAACATCTTTGTTCTTTTGCTGGCAGCAAAGCTCTCGTGATGAGCCCTGTCTGTCTGACTGGGTATAGATTTAGGGAAGAGAAGGAACAGTTTGTTCTCTTCTGATTGTATAAGAATACCCTTGACAGTGTGTTGCTTGTTTCAGATTACAACTCTTATCATCTAGGATTAGAATGGAAGAAAATAGGAAAGCTGGTGTTAAACACTTTTTTCTTTGATGTGCCTGTCTTGAAACTTAGAAACCTTAGTTTCTAAGCATGGATGTTGTTTCCTGTTGCCCTGTAGCACTCCAGAACTCGGAGTTTTGCTCAACAAACTCATCATACACTTTTTCTCCAGGGGAGTGTATTTGGCCATTTGATGCAGCTCCTTCACATCTTTTTAAGGACACTGTTGTCTTCTCAAGTTCTGTGGTTCCCTCAGACATTTTGTAATTTTTTTTCTAGTATGCCATAAATCTCCTTTTATTGCAAATTGAGACATTCATTTCGGGATTGAAAAAACTTATCTACTGTCTTTTTTGATCAAATTTTGAATTTGAGAAAGCAGTTGCCTTCTTCCATATGCACATTTAGAGATATTTTCCAGATAGGTAATTAATTAAAAGGCATTATTTGCATTTAATTTCTCCCACGTAAATCTTGGTGCCTTAGGAACTTCTACACAAACACATCCAGGATTAAGATGCAGAGTTTTAACACGCAGCCTAGTTCTCTTCCTCTTGATATATTTAGACCCCTGATTTCTATATAGATCACAGCATGTATGAACCATCGTCCTGTAAAATGCACTGAATCATAGAATAGAATCACAGAACCATTATGATTGGAAAAGACCTCTCAGGTCATCAAATCCAACCATCATCCTGTCAGCTGGCCGCGTTCAGCCCCTGAGCTGTGCTTAGACAGTTATATGCCAAGTGTGGGAGTGAGGGCAGGTTCTTTTGCCCTCGAGGAAAGGGAGAACTGTATGTGTAGCAACAGCACATGTGTGATACAGCACTACAGGTTGTTCTGAACACTGCAAGACGTTTCTAATCCTGCATGCAGGGCAAGCATCTCATACTCACTGTGCCCTCAGCTGCTCCCATTTATACACTGCTTGCTGGAAAGCCAGTGACAATCACAACACACCAGCAGCTTACAATCTCTTACTTAAGAAGGAGATATCAACAGTGTATAATCTTCAGAAAGTCTAAAAATATGTATTTTGGACAAAAGGTTTCTTTACTTCTTCCCATACTAGTCCCTTTCCCAAACAATTTTATTCTAGGTCATGAGTTTAGAATCTGATGATGCTTCTATTAGTTTTATTCTTTGCTTAATTTTATTTTGCAGCTTTTGTGGTAATTTTGTGTCTACATATGTTGAGTATTATCAAATTTTAACAGATCTTCAGTATTAGATCCTTGATAACAACACCTATTCATTGTCTTAGCTTTAGCATATGATTCAAGACATAATTAGTACTCAGCATAAGTGTGTAACAAAGTGTCCCTAAAACAGCATATGGATATTCTGATGAAAGGAAATTTGGAAATATTGCTTTTATAAACCCAAAAGCTGCAGAGCAGATGTGGAAGGAATTACTGCAAGGAATCTCAACTGGCATATAAA